GTGGTGATCAGTCAGACCCTGAGCCTCTGAGCAAGCACCAGCCAACTAAGTTTGAGAGAGCGCGAATGCTCAATGCTGCCTCAGATCACTGGTCCACCCTGTCCAGTGTCTCATCTCTAGCTGTGGCTATTTCTGATGCTTCAGCGAAAGAAGACCAAAGAAAACCCCACACAGAATACATAGGGCGGGAAATCCCTTCCTGACCCCTGCAGGTGATTGGCTGAAGCCCTGAAACATGAGCTTTAGGAACATAAGACATAAACTGGAAGGAGAACCCCAGGGCTGCTGAGAACTGCCCCCTAATATCACGGGCAACTCCATCATGTAATCATAAATTTGTCCAGCTCTCTCTCAAAGCTAATTAAGTTGTCTTCCCTCCCACCCCCAACTCCTATTGGGAATTGACCACGAGTGACCAGAATTGTACACAGTATTCCAGTTGAGGGCTTAACAGTGCCTTTTACAATAGGATTAATGCCACTGTATCTCTACTGGAAATGTTTCACCAGTTACATCCTAGATCGGATTTGCTTTTTTTCACAGCCACAGCACAGTAGTGGCTTGTAATCATCCTGTGATCAACCCACACACCCAGCTCTCTCTTCCTCTGTTCCAACTGATGACCCCCCAGCTTGTAGCAGAAATTCTTATTATGAGACCCTATGTGCATGACTTCGCATTTTGTACTGTTGAATTTCATCCCATTTCTGTTACTCCAGTCTTTAAGGTCATCCAGATCTTCCTGTATAATATATCGATTTTCCTCTGTATTGACATTGCCTCTCAACTTTGTATCATCAACAGATTTCATTAGCACACTCCTACTTATGTGCTAAGGTCATTTAATAAAAATATTAAAGAAGATTAGTCCCAAGACTCATCCTTGAGGAATTCCACTAGTAACCTCCCTCCAGTCTGATAATTCACCTTCACACAGCCTGTTACATTCTCCCCTTTAGCCAGTTCCTTGTTCACTTTACAGTGCTTATACTGATACCCATCTTCCCTAATTTAACCAATAATTTCCCATGTGGTGTTATGTCAAAGTCTGTATATTAGTTCTACTGCATTTCTCTTCACTAAAGTCAGTTATTTGCTTAAAGAAGGAAATCAAATTATCTGGCACAATTTGGTAAACCCATGTTGAATTATATCCCTTCTTCTGTTTTCTCTATGGATTTAATTATTTATTCTTTCTTTCATAATTTTGTTCCAAAGTCTGACTACTGAGGTTAGATCAGGGGTCAGCAACCTTGGGCACGGAGCCCATCAGGGTAATCCCCTGGCGGGCCGCGAGACATTTTGTTTACGTTGACAGTCTGCCGGCACGGCCCCCTGCAGCTCTCAATGGCTGCGCTTCGCCGTTCCCGGCCAATGGGAGTTGTGGGAAGCAGCGGCCAGGATTATCCTCATTTTTTACATAGAATCGGTCCCTAGCCATCTCCGTTGTCTCTTCTGCAGGGACTGTTTTTCCTTCTTTTCTCCCCTGTCCTACCCCCCATCTGCCTGTTCCTCCTCTTCTTTTTCCAATGCACCAAACCTGTAACTCAATTTTTTTTTCACCTATATTAGTCAATCTCTTCCTCTGCTTTGTCTGGTGGTCACATTCTACTATGGATCACCCTCCTCTTCTTGCAGTTTTCCCTCCAGGTTCTTTTGCTGATCTGGTGTCAGCAAATATTGAGTTGTCTGTACCCTCTGCTCTTCTCTCCTGTTTTTGTATCTTCAGATTCCCGTCTGAATTCTATCATTAGTCTCCAGCTGCTTATCTTTATCTTTGGATCATCTCTGCCGTGAGCTATATCAGGCAACATTTCATGCATAGGGGCTTCCATCAGATACCCACTCAAGGATGTGGCACATCGTGCAGCTTCCACATCCAACCATCTTCTGTCTCCTCTCCTGCTTGGGTCCTTGCTAGTGGTGCCTCAGGAGCCATCATTGTCTTCTCTTCCTACTACCTATTCCTAGAGAAAAAGAAGGAAGAAAGAAATTTTTAAAAATCCTCCCAAACTGCCACAGAAACTCTATTAGCTGCTAACTGTTAAAATACATACCTGAGGGAGGACTTACTTAAAAAGTCTAAATCAGTGTATATTCTGGACCATAACACCAATGAAAACAGTATCAGCAGCAGCAACAACAAAAATTGTCTTGTATCAGTCAGTAAATTGTCTGATACAGATGTGTGAAATAGCATGTGACCAGGCAGTTGGATTGTATCATGAGGCATACACAAAAGGGAGCAGAGTGAAGGCTCCACATGCAAATCTTAATTCTTTTACTTCCTGGCTGTCATCTTGGTAGGGCTGCAAAATGTCCATTTGGTGTAGCTTCATGAAATCAAATAAATAACTACACTTGGCATCCTCTAATCCTTCTCTTTTATAAAAGTTCAGCCATAGTGCAATTTTTGACCTAGTGAAATTTTCACTTCTCCTCACTGGGTTATAACTGAAACACCAGTGATACCCAATTTTTATAAGTCCCATGTTTTGATACAGTGCAATAGCATTTACGCTGTTAATGTCAGAGATTGAACATCATCACTAAATCTAATTTAGGTAAGCTAGAAACATACTCTGGCTCTACATGCCTATGGGGCTACTTTTATTTCCTCATTTCCATTGATACCAATCAAACTGTTCCTACTTCATCTTTATTAGTTTGGAGTCAACTCCTTTCTGAGAACCATTTAAACTGTGTTTAGCATGTGCACAGGTTGAGAAGTACTACCACATTTGTATCCATTTATCTTTCTTTAATGTTGAAATGATTTGTGCTTTTGCCACTCTGTGATTAGATTGCAGTAGTTGCTACACACTGACTTGCCAAACCAGGTTCTATCTGCATTCCCCAGAACAAATATTTGATACTTTAGTTTCAGAAATGTGGTTAAAGCAGGTTTAAATGCTTGGGAAGCTTTAAGGGCAGACAAGTTCCGAATTTTCTTCTAAAAGTGGAAATGACTGCTCCTGCCAATTGTAAGACTGGGGACTGAATTGTGTCACCTGAGATGAGACTTTTGGGTGATAGAGAGGCTCATCTTCTGTATTCTAGGAACTGCAGTATGGGATGATACCAGTGGCCAATTTAGACCTGTCTCTTGTATCAGATAGGGACTAAGTACCAGCTACTTCAAAGAAAAATGCATGGAATGGTGGAGTAGGCAGTTAGGGAATAACTTTCTCACATGGAAAGTTTCTTCCTTGCTCCCATTAATTAAGGGGTTAGCTTATGTCTTGAAGCATGAGAGTTTATATTTATTCCCAAACTCTTGTTTTGGTATCCTATTATTGTAACTCTGGATGCCAGGAATAAGTTGTCTTCCTTCTGCATGTATTATTTTTCCAATGTGGTTAACAGACTGAATCAGAGCCTGTATCCTGGCCCAAAGCCACTTAAAGCCAGAGTAGATGCAAAAAATATATGAGGGATGGTGATTCAGCAATGTTGCTCATGCTAATCCTCCTAATTGTGGGTTCCAATTTGTTTGGATAGCCTTAAACTCAGTGTTTATAACATGCTGTTCACATCCTTAAAAAGAAGGGAGAACTCTTTGCTTGGATAGGTAATAATTTCAAAATTTACTTGTGTCTTTATCACTGAGTTATGAGTCCTAACATAACTAGTGTGCTGAGGTTACAGCTTCGCAAGTATACACTCTTAATTTAGAAAAAGTGATGCTTAGCTGGTGCTTATCAGAAGACCGATAAGGAACAGAGGCATTTCATTCACTCAGTGTTTGAAGCACGTGTATAGACATAAATTCTGTTGACCATTCAAGCTATAAGAGAGAGACGACCTTAACTTCCAAAGTCAAACTTCAGATCTTAAGGATTTCACGATACAAAAGCAACCTTTATTTTTTTTAGGGCCTTCCTTCAACTCCATTGTAATTGAGAATCCTGCCATCTCCCTATCAAATGGAAATTCCATGACATTGTTTTTTGTTGTGGTTTGTGTATTTCCCCTTCCCCATCCTTAGCTGGAATGTTGTTTCTTAAATGGGTTTAAAACCTCTGAGTATTTCACACAGACCATACATTGTAGGAGCCATGAAACCAATTGCTACTTTTATATTCTCCCCCCCCCCCAAGTGAGGAACAAGTAGACTCCCAGCCCCTAGAGTTCTTGGTGGTATTCACATGTGCTTTTCATGCAGTCAGATCACTTCCTAACAACCTTCAAATTGTCTAAGAGTATGTCTACACAGCAAAGAAAACCCTGCAACTAGCCTGTGCCAGCCGACTTGGACTCGGGCTTGGGCAGGGTGGGAGGGTCCCATAGCTCAGGCTCCAGCCGAAGCCCGGAAGTCTACACAGCAATGAAACAGTCCTGTAGCTCAAGCCCCATGAGCCTGAGTTGGTTGGCCAGTCACAGGTATGTCTACACTGCGAAGAAAAATCCTAAGAGGGTAAATCTTGCCTCACCATGGTATATCCAGATGTAAAAAAGATTGTAGTTTTTCACTGCAGCAGGGTTGGATGGCAGCTCTTGAGATGGGCCCCCAAACTATGTGGATCCTTCAGCCACTCACCCTGTGGATGAGAAGCACGGTAGAATTCGGGGTTACTGCAGCGTGCGGGGTTGGGTGGTTTGTTTTGCCTCTCACCAGCATACAGGCAGTGTGTTTCTCAGGCAGTGTGCTGGGGAAAGTATTTTGGCCCTATTAAAATGAAACCAATTGGGACTATTGAGTCACTGAAAAAGTGAACTTTTCCCTCTCCCGGAGGGAGGAAAAATGAGGCTGGACAAAAACTATGTGGGTCATTTTAGGCTTGCACAGAAACATGAATATGCTAAATAAATGAGGTATTTTAAATGGACCAATAGGGATAGCTAGACAGAGGGTACAGGCAGTGCTTTTATCCCACAAGAGGGAGGAGGAGTGTATGAGCCAGAAGATAAAAGCTGAAACAAAGCCATGCTGTGTCCCTTTGAGTTATTCACATAACACTGGATGGTAAGGCTTTCTGCTCCTGAGACACAGAAGTGGGGTCATGATTCTAACAATGGACGCTGGTAAGTTGCATTAAGTTTGCCTTTCTCTGTATAACATAGCTTTTCACAGGAAGGAGCAAAGCCAGTAGCTAACTTTTTTGTAAGTAATGCAGTTTCTTGTGTAGTTATACATCTTACAAAGCCTGCAATAAACTTGGCATAGTGTGTGTATTATACTATAATTATTCCATGACTGTTACGCATTGAAACGTGGATCCTCTCTGGAAATATGAGTCCATGATACCACAATGAGCATGTTAATACGAGCCCTTCTGACTTCATTAAAGGGACAGTCATCATGGGTCTGAATTACAGCCCCAGTGTCTCACTTCTAGAGAAGCCAAGATAACTGTCCATGAAAGGTGTAGTCTGAATCACATCTATACTGTGAGGTATCATGGAAGGAAACCTATGACAGTAAGCAAAAACTAATGGTGACGCTAAAATTTGTTAGCTGTAACTCCTCAGGGTCTTTAGGACCCTACAAAACTTGTATTGTGTGTGATGGGGTCAGAGCACTTTTACAAGATTCAGAACCTCTTCCCATGATTTGTACTACTAAAGCAGCTTGTGTGAAAATAGGATCTTAACGTTGGGTTTTTTTAAAAAAGGAATAGTTCAGGAGGGTGGGAACCACCTGTGTTGGTAGTGACAATAAACTTACTGTTTGGCTGTGTAGTGGTTTGTGTGAAATGAATTGGTAATCTCAGTCCAGTTTCTTATTCATGGGAGTGGTGTCTGTGTCATAAGGGTCAGTCATTTTTAGAAGTCTTCAGATAAGAGAGCCAGGATTTAAATGGATATGGAGAGAGCACCAATTGCCAGAACTTCTGCTGTACCTGTGAATAAATTTTGTTGCTGCTTTCAGTCTGATTCCTATCACAAGCAGATTATTTACTCCAATTTAATGAGTATAGTAATGTAAGAATTATTTTGAATCCCTTCTGTTACCAGTCACAGTATACTCAGTTGTGGTGGGAAAGGGGAGGTTACAGATCTTAGAAATCGTTTTACTTACAAATGCATTACTTTTGTTTTTCCGTTTGAACATTATTCTAAAAACGGTTAAGACAAAGTTCTGAATACTTGTCAGCCCAGTGCCTTTCTCCAGTAATGTGCATCTGGCTCCATTTGGATTAATATTTATTCTCTATGGCTTGAGGAAAAAGTTGTCTTAATGCCCTCTTTCAGTTCTTGGCCTTTCTGATCAGACTTCAAAAGCAGGCCAGCTGAGGTGATTTGTTGATGGACATTTCTTCACCAGAAACTGAGCAAAGATTACAAACACCTTTACTTAAGTCACCAGCATTTTACTGAAACTATTTTAAAACTAGTAACCTGGTTACGATTAAAACCAGTGATTCAGATGTGGTGCTCACAGTGTGCTAAGCGCTTTGCAGACAAGGTTGAAACCAGGACCTTGCCACTGTGTAAGTTGACAATGTGCAGAATGAGGAAGGTGATGAAATGCAACACAAAGATAACTGGTAGGTTTATTCATGATTTTCCTTCTAGGTTTTGGGGATTTTCAAACATTGCTTCATTTTCATTACAGCAGCACCTAGAGGCCCCAGGTCGTCATTATGCGAAGCGCTGTGCAAACTCATAGTAACGGGGAGTAGTAGTCCCATTTTCCAGAAGGGGAACTGGGTCACAGGCTAAGTGACCTGTCCTGAGGTTGCAGAGAGAGAGGCTCTCTCAGAGCTGGGACTTAAACATAGCTCTCTCAAGACCTAATCCAGTGTCTTCTGCAAGACTATCCTTCTTCCAAGCACTGGAGTTTGTAGGCTTCATGGAAGCAGTTGTGGGCTTGTTTGTTTTGTTTGTAAGGATGAACCTGAGCGAAAATGTGGAAGCGTATAATTTAATCTTAAAGATTACATCTAATTTTATACTTTCAGTTTAAGAAAATTTACTTTAATTGGCATGTTCTTTCCCTGTGATGATGAGTAACTTAAAATGAAATGCTGTTTGGGCACCATTATTTGTAAGTCCTCGCTCTTAAATTTTCCTCAGGACAATGTCACTGTTTTACACTTTTCCAGGCGTCACTGTCCTTCAGTAGTGCAGTTAATATTTTTAGAAAGTTACATTGCCTTGCATTGGTAAAATATAAAAATTGCCAGTGGCTTAAAAATGTTCAGGTTTTTAAATGGTAGTTCTTTGTTTTTTGGTGAGGGAAAACACTTCTAAATACTTCAAAGGAAACATGGTACTTTAAGCATGTATAAAATGAAGGTCTACGATTTGCTCCAAGGATAATATTTGAACATTTGGTTTTTGTTTTTAAAAGTCATGGAAAAATATCTAGGCAGTTTAATCCTCTCACTCTAATAAAAACACTCGAGTTGTTACAGCGTTACTATCTGCTCAATTTCACTTGCATTTAAAACTCAATTTGTTGTTCGTTCTACTATTTACTTATTTCATATCATTTGCTTTGCAAGTCTGGGCTATTATTTTGTCTTGGACATCAGATTGTTAAACTGCTTTCTTAGCCACTAAAACTCTGCTGGTTTTTAAAAGGATTTTAAGAGATACTATTTTAATAAAAATCTTTAGTAGAAGCACTCTCTCTCTACTTACTTTCCATTCCATTCCCAGGACCACCTCATATCTGTAATTGGCTTTCTTTGTTTTATTGCCCTGTAGTTTTTGCTGCTTTTAATTTCTTGGTTTGGTGAGAGGATGTAAAATGAAAGCTGCAGGACATAGTTGATAATATAATTGGATTTGAAGTAACTACAGGCTGGGAGTGTTGCAACAGCTGATCTGATCCTTCTGAGTTTCAAGAGCTATTTATGGTAGATTAGCTGGTATCAAAGCTCTACTGTTCAGCCCATAAATGGTTGGTCCCATGTGAAGTTGCCACACTGCATTTGGCTTAGTCCTTGGAGGTTGGAGAGCCTGTAGTTTTATGTGGATAAATCAAGTGATGGATGGAAACACGAAAGGCAGATCAGGGAACTACATTGTTGAGGACTTTAGACGGCTGAGAACATTTGAAAGAAGAGTTTTGCTGATAACTTTCTTTCCAAATATTTCAGAAGCAGCACTTGGAATATAGCTTTTGCATATTTACTCTATTTGGCACCCACATGCCATAGGAAAGCACCGTTCTAAATTTATCTGTCTCTGAATCATCTTGGCTGCAGATGTTCTTGCCAAACTTGCATGTTGATATTTGGTAACTTGAGTGAGGTGTCATTTTTGTTTTCTTAGCACCTGAATGTTTTATGTGCTTTGAAAAGAAATTTTTAGCTGAAGTGAGAAACTTCTCCAAAATAGTGCTATGGAAGTCTAACTCTTACTGTTGGCTAGAAGGAGTTGCAATAGTTCTGTGACTATTCTGTGAAGACTTTTTTTCTTTTTTCCTATATAAAACCAGACAAGCAGTTTTTTTTAAAAACAGGATTTTGAAGTAAGTAACACCTCTTTCTAAAAGCTTGAAAGCAGATGTTTAAAAGCCAGTTGTTTTGAGAGTGTTTGAAGCTTTGTCAGGTTGAAGTGTGAGTAGTTTTTTCCAGCCTGTGCATGCCAGTCATTCAGTCTTCCTTTGAGGCATTTTTATTCTCGTGGTTTTGTTTAAACAAAGAGTTCATTTCACTATGGATGGAAAGTCTGTCACTGACTGGATTGTGTGTGAAGTGTGACACTTTTAGAGTGTATTAACCTATAATACCAATATCTCAAATTGGGTTAGGAATATTATTTAAATAAAAGCTATTTCAGTGTGTTTTTCCCCCTCCCGCTCCCCGCAATATTTTGGGGGAGGTGTTGTAAAACCAGTACACCTCTACCCCAATATAACACTGTCCTCGGGAGCCAAAACATCTTACCGCGTTATAGGTGAAACTGCGTTATATCGAACTTGCTTTGATCTGCCGGAGTGTACAGCCTCTCCCTCTCCCCCCCCCCCCCCCGGAGCACTACTTTACCGCGTTATATCTGAATTCATGTTATATTGGGGTAGAGGTGTACTTAAATGTATGATTTGAATCTGACAGAAGTCTTACAGTAGTTTAGATGAGATACAACAGCTGCATTTTAACAATTGCTAGACTTGGAAGTTTACTCGGAATACTCATCTCCAACTCTCCAGTTTCCACTCTTTTCACATGATCTCTGGCTTTCTCCATTAAGATACCTTGGCAGAAAACTGGTTGTGCATTCATTCTTGACCACCAGCACAGCATTATTATCTGCTGAACCTTTAGGGTTTTTCTTTCCTTGCTCCCAATATGCCCCCTGATGTTCTACCTTAACTGGTTTAGAGACACTAATTTACAAAACATCCTGTGAACAGGGCTGGCTCCAGGGTTTTGGCTGCCCCAAGCAGCCAAAAAAAAGCCGCGGTCGTGATCTGCGGTGGCAATTCGGCTGAAGGTCCTTCGCTCCGAGCAGGAGTGAAGGACCGTCCGCCGAATTGCCGCCGAATAGCTGGACCTGCCGCCCCGCTCCGGAGTGGCCACTCCAAGCACCTGCTTGCCAAGCTGATGCCTGGAGCCGGCCCTGCCTGTGAAGGAAATATAAATACTTATCCCCATTTTAAAGATGGAGAAACGGAGGCAAGTAGTTTCTCAGGAGCTAATGATCATGAGTACATCTCTCAGTTCTGTACTTGAACTGCAAGACCATAACCTTTCCTCAAACAGCTCTAAAAACTTGTTCCCATAATATACCCACTATCCCTTCATGAGCTTGTGTTCTCTTCGGGTGTTTCACTATACAGCATCAAATGGACCAGACAGCTAGCTTTTATGTATTAAACTGTTAACAGTCCTCTTTCATCCGTTGGTGAGTGGAGGTAAGACATTTTTATTAAAAAAAAAAAAAAAGGTTTTGTTGTTTTTTGTATGCACTTGAATTTTGGTAAATACTGCTTGAACGCCCATTGAAACCTCTGCATGCAGTCTAAGTCTGTCCAGTATATTACAAAAAGATGGATCCTCCCCAGTACCGAAGCTCTGGCCTTAGTCACATGCTGTATCAACCGAAATCATTCTTCAGACACCATGTCA